ACAACCCTTAAATGGGACGAAATCTTGTAGGTATTACAATATTTGAGATACGAGCGTGGAAAGATGAACTTTTTTGCGACTTTTTGTGTGGAGAGTATACCAAATACCTCGTGTTGCTAAATTCAGCTAGTGTAGGCACCGTTGTGGAATGGTAGAACAAGCAGTGTTGTTAAAATAAACAGGGTTTGACAAGCTGTGGTTTGGCATTGGCATTAGTGAATTTTAGTCACCGCATCCGTGGCGGTGCACCATTTTAATGAATTTAGCAACACGCGGATAGTGAAATACTGGTGCTACTGGTGTTTATCAGTCAAAATATTGACAGATTCACATATTTTACGTCACTAACGAATTGACCTTTTGTTTGGACGCCATATTGCGGTGCGCGAACATAGTTGTCAAAAGTTGGAAAAAAATTACTAGCGTACTGTCAACATTAAAAACAAAAGGTACTGAATAAATTACATTTAAAATTTAAATTTGCCGCCTATTACGAATGTTTTTGAGAAGAAAAGCCATCAATTTTAGCTTGTATTGGGCAGAATCGAGGGCAGAATATAAATAATAGAATATGTACCTACTATCTATACCTATTTACTTCCATCAATCAGAGAGAGAAAGTAAACAAACAAAAAGGATAGCGAGGATCAATCATTTAGATACTTTTGTTTCTAATGTTGACAGCCCGCTAGTAATTTTTGTTTTTTTCTTTTGGCAACTATGTTCGCGCACCGCAATATGGCGTCCAAACAAAAGGTCAATTAATGGGTACATTCAGGCTGTGTCAGCGACTGAGTTCAGCCACTCAGCAGGGACTTTATTCTCGAAACAGGGGAGCAGCGTTCTCATAAGAACGAAGGTTCTGTCTTCGTCATCCGTATTCATATTTTCATAACACTGACAATGACAGAGCAATCGTTCTCATGAGAACGCTGTTCCTCCGTTTCGAGAATAAAGTCCCTGCTGAGTGCCTGAGCTTAGCCGCTGGCACCGCCTGAATGTACCCAATGTCAACATAGGCTAAGGCCGGGACCGCACTGTGGTTAATGTTGGTGTCAATGCGTTCCTGGCCTTAGCCTACGTTGACATTTGTTAATGACGTTAAATATTTGAACCTGTCAATATTTTGACTGATAAACACCAGTATTTCGTATACTCTCCAAACAAAAAGTCGCAAAAAAGTACATCTTTCAATGATCATATCTCAAACACCGTAAAATCCATAGAGCCCAAAAATCCCATGTTATGTGTGCGTTATTCTCTACTCAACAAAATCTTCAATAATGATAATAATAATAATAATAATAATAATAATAATAGAGCTTAACCGTTATTACATTTCTGAATGACTTTCAGCTTCAAGCAATTCATAACACAACTAGTGGTTGTTAGAAAGATTTTTTCAGGTAATGACCAACGTGAATACAGGGACACTACGGTCCCTGTTTGGGAGTCGACCCACTGAGCAGTGGATTCAGACTTCCCGTGTCAATCTTTGACGCGTTTCGTCCTTGTTAGGACTCATCAGAAGGACATAGGCTGAAGCTCTCTGTCCCTGCTTGGACGCTCAGTGGGTCAATTCCCAAACAGGGACCGTAGTGTCCCTGTATTTACGTTGGTCATTACCTGAAAAAATCTTTCTAACAATTTTCATTGCCAACGAAACCAAACAGTGTAGTTCAACGCCGGTAGGGGTATTTGCCCTCGGAGTAGTTGCTTCTGACTGGTCAACGAAGTTCACAACTAGTGGTGTTATGGACTAGGTTATGAATTCATAACACAACTATTTTTGGTTATTTGGTCAAAGTTGAACCTGTAAAGGCAAAATGAAGATAGACACTGACTAATAAACGAAAATCATTGAAAAAACATTCTCATTTTTCGCTTTGTGGATAAAACGTTGTGCATCACACGTGCCCTTAATGACTACCAAACTCATGTGATTAAAACGACTCAGTCTACGACCTCGTCGTTCTAATCTTTCACACTCGTCATTGCAATCATATTCATAAACACACTTGTAATGTAAATAACTATTTGCTCCGTAGGGCATTTTATTCATTTGACGAATTTTTAAATTGTGATTTTGTGTAAACTTCGGTTAACGTCGATCTACCGAAATCTGTTAAAACCAATTTCGTATCAAAACCATTTTTGAAAGTACTGAAAAATATTTTTTTTCAAGTAATACAAACACTTTTCTGTACGTTGAATAAAAGATGTCACCGTTTGAAGCATTTCAAATTACCGGCATAAATATCCGACTTCAATACAAAAAAAAAATACCAGATGCTAACGTCGGTCTGTGACATGAACAATAGAAAACAGCAATTTTCTAGTACTGAGTTCGTTTTTGCGTCTTAGAGTTTATGACAACTACAAAAAGTTAACTTAACACTAGACAAAATATAGATTTTTATATACCAATAAACGTTACCTGAAGAAGTATTCCAATCAATACAACAAAATTTTATCTTGATTTAAAACCGGTCTGTGATACCGTACTCCCAAAAGTACGGGGGTCGTACTTCAATAGTTCTGTAGTACCGGAGTGCGATAACAAAAATATGAAGCTACTGAGGCGCATGCGCGCTTGAAACAGCGGGTTCGGTAGTTATCGGCGCTACGTACCTGAGTCGGTCGCTTAGACCCAGCGGAAGGTTAAGAGTAGTGGTACTGTGAATTTTATTGTTGAATGCCATTGTGTAATCGCTCTATTATTAATTACATAATGCTATTATATTTCTATATTTGACGTATCTAAGTGCTTTCCTGTATGCTAACATTGAACAGTTTCAGCTTTCTGATGAATATTCCCAACTTTCTGCTGAACTTCGTGACGAACACTCTCAACTTCTTGGCGAACTTCTTTCATTGCATTCCTGAGTTTATTAACTTTGGTCTTCTTCTTCTTGTTTTTCTTTCTGTCCTTGGTCTTCTTGTTGTTGTGAAAATGCTGCCAGCCGGTCCTGTTCTTTTTGCTTTCAGTCTTCTTTTTCTTGTTTTTTTGCCTGTCGCCAGCATTTGATTAACTTGCTCTATTTGGACTGTTTGCTGTCGTGTATTTACCATAGAGTATTCTGTATCTTTCTTGAAACTTGTTTTTGAATTAAAAATTCTATGGCCAAATCAAATTTCCAACTAGAACACGATGGAATGTTCTAGAAAATTACTTTGTGGAATTGTTTTTCGACGTTGAAATTTGAAATCAGTATTGAAGTCACTATTTTTATATGACCCACGGTTTCCAAATAAAATTATTGTATAGAAGTGTCTAGAATTAACCTGAAATTCCGATTATAGGCTTGATTTTTGATGTTAAATCCAGTATTAAAGTCACTATTTGGTTTTTAAATAGATTTCTATAGAAGTTTGTAGAATATTCCAGAAAACCGCTTGTGAGGACGTTTTTCGATGTCAAGTCGGATTATAAAGTCACTATTTCAGTTTAATAAAAGTTCACTGATTGTTCCTGCACTAAGAAGCTAAAATTATTACACCAATTGTCTTGCTAATTAATCGCACTTCTGAAACCAAATTGTCACGAATTTCGGGTTGACTAAAAACTCACTTTACAAACAGTAACAACTTTTTTAAAACTAATTGACTTTATACATTTCACTCATCACTTATTGAAACGTATACGACAATATCAAATTAAGAACTGACTTCTACTAAATACTACTTCGTGCTACTTTTAGCAGACAGCGTACTTGGGATTAATCTAGAAAAACCTGGCGACCGAGTTGAATAGAATCTCCGCATTGTTTACGCGAAGCGCATACAACTGCTTTCTTAGAATTTCGTAACAGTATGTTAGAAATAGGATCGAATAAAGTAGAATTACGCTTCAAAGAAGCTAAAAAATATCTACACAAAAATGGAAACTTGAATAAAAGAAGGTATTGATGAAAAATCAAAAACATATTTGCTCAAAATTCTGGATCTAGCTTTTTCAGGGTGGAATGAAGTTTCCTTATGACGAAGAGACTACAAAAAGAATACCACTTGTCTGAGGATGTTTGCCAAAATACTTCTCAAAGCGTTTTTTTTTTTTTTTCAAATTAAAATAATTACCCAGCAAACTAATGGAGAATTGCATTAGAAAAAATCAAACAGATACCAGCTTAAAGTGAATATCAATCTATATACACATAAATAAAAAACGGCAATGATGAATTCTCTAATTCAATAAAATCACAATTTAAAATATCCCACAATAGAGGAAATTTTCTTTTCACCAAAATTGCGACGTCGTAGTAGTTCATTAAGTACCTATAACTACAATCTTTTACAGTCTTTTACTGATGTTGTGTTAAGTTATTTTTTCACAAATTGTCGTTATTGTAATCGAAAACGAAAACGCTTAAAACTGCGAAACATTAATCTCACAATTTTAAATTCTCAGAGCGAATCATCATGAGATGTTTGCTTTCTAGTTTTCAGACAATGAGGCCTAGTTGGAACATAAGTGTTTGCACGACACTTTAAAACAAAGTTATTATACACGAGAGATAAATTAGTTTCGTGTTCTGTCGAAAAGACATTGAGAAGACAATAGAGCAAATGCTACGTATGAATTTTTTGCATGACTGATGTTTCAACTAGAATCAAAAATGGGAGGAACATTATTTGTATATTTGTATGAATTATGTGGAATCGCACCTCATATAATTATAATACTTCATGAAAGTATTGTACGATACGTGGAACAAATTATTAAAGAGGAATGAAACGGGTCTGAAAAATCACCAGAATTTCCAGTTGAAGTGTTTGCAAAAATTTCCCTAATAATCCGATAAAACCCTTTTTTAATTGCTAGAAAGCGTGAACGCTTTTGTCCTATATTTGCTTAGCATTCCGCTCACCAACAAACCTTTGTGGTTTCACAAGCACAACATCTTTGAAGCAAAAGCAATCTGTGAGAGTCAAAGAGCGCCGCATCCAGCTAGATGGCGCGTCTCGGCGCCGCAGATCGCCAAGCGTCGCCGATTTAACTCAGTTTTCTCGCGCCAACCATCGCGTCTGGATACGATAATGATATTCGAAACTGAAGCTGGTTTGTTTGCTCATTTTTGCGTTACGTGAAAATTTGTAAATTAATGTTTTTAATATGGTGTTGTTGTGATGTTGGCATAATATGGTTTAATTATTGGTGTTTAGACACGTACTAAATTGTGTTGTATACTTTGTGAAGGGAGGCATGGAAAGTTCCTACAATCAGTGGATTTTATTTATTTTTAGTTCGTTTATTATTGGTAAGTAACCCAACACTAATTGAGAAAATCTCATGCTCATGTCATACAAAATTTCATAAAATGATTGTCATACTTCAGTAAATTATTATAAAATTTAGAAGAAAATTCTAAAGTTGATTTAAGTTACCTATATCGTGATAGTTTTCCTAGATTGATGATACATTAATGTGATAGGATTAACAAGTAGGTACAAATCGCTTTTCCCAAATTTTCTTCTTGAACATGTTGATCTTATGTCGATCAGTTCCTATGTGAAATCATAAATTATAATGCGACATGTAACTGAGCCAACTAATTATTGGTCTATCGAACATCTCGAGACAAATTATTGGTAATACAACAATATTTCTTGGAACAAATAATATTTTTGAGAATTTCATACATCTATCAAAACTGGTATTCCAACAATAAATTGACATGTATTGATTGTTGATTTGAACCAATCAGATTGGAATTACGCGGTGTTTTGACAAAAAATTTAAATTTTCCATTTATGAAATTCTCTCATTAAATACAACTCGTGCAATGGAAATATATTTATAATTTTCGACAAATTTGCACTCATGCATTTTTAACTGAAAAAGGCACTCGTGCACTACGTGCACTCGTGCATTCGGGCAAATTTCCCAAAAATTATCAATAATTTCCATTGCACTAGTTATAATATTTATATTTTTGTTTTTTGTGCACAGGAAGATAAGGTCGTACTTTAACTTGTATTACTCACGAAGAATGGAAATATGACTTACTTATTGGAGAAATAGTAGTTTTCATGAACACACCTCAGTCCTAAGACGTTTATTTTGGTAGAACACACATACAATTGAGACTAAAAGCAAGATGGAATAATTAAACGAGAAAATAATCAGCTTAGACATCGCCGACAATAACATTAATTATACATTAGTCCCTGCAATTTTGAGCATGAGTGATTGTTGGTAGTGCTAACTTTAAGCTAATCAGTGCAATTTAAATCACGTTATAATTTGATCAGGAAATGGTCATTATTAAGTTATGCCTGTACCTTGGGTATCAGTTCTAGAATTAACACAATCATTTTAGATTTATACGGATTATCTCGGCTATTACTTTTTTAAAGAAGGTAATTGTATGCACGTTAGGAAATTTAGAAGAAAGAAGAAGGGTTTTGTATTTCGTGCAATTTATTTATTTCAACTCAGTGCAGAGCGCTTTTAGACTAGATCATCATCAGTGCAATCTGGAAGTAAGAGAAAAAACTTTCTTTATATCATTTTAGTAACTCTAAGAATAATATTTTGGTTATGGAAAAATCTGTAAAGAAAACTGGAAGGTTACAAAGTTGCTCTACTTACTTTGTCAGGTAAAAATACAGGAGATCACAGTTGGAGTTAAAACAACATATATTGAAAACGAAGTACATGCACATTACAACACTCTAAAATTCTTTAATAGATTGTCATCACAAATTATTTAAATATCACATTAGGCAAGAGTTGTCTTTGGTTGGTAAGATGATAATATGTCTTTTTTCTCGTGATTGACTTGCAAATTTAACGGTTTTGTTTTTAAAAATGACACATAACTGAAGATTGTTGGTTTACCTAGCTGGCAGTTGCTAATGATCCAATGTTTCGTCTTTATTCTAAATAAATTTTATTTAGAATAAAGACGAAACAGAGTCTCACAAGTTGGAGTCTGTCAATTTGTTATTATGATGAATTAACTAAACTTGAAATTTTTATTTTATTTTTTTTAAATACGAGCAATCGACCTTTCCACTGTGTACTAACCTGGGATTATCTTATAGTGCATGGATGTTGACGGTTTTTTTTTTTTTTAAGAGTTGACTGTTGAATATGAAATTGATTTTGTTGGAATTATAAGTTAATAGTCTATTTAGAATGTTAATTGGTTAATAAATTGTCTATTTGGAAAATAAAAAATAGTTTGTTAATTGATTGTTGATTTAGTTTAAAAGTCGTCGATGTAGAGTAATATGCTCGGTTCAAGTTGCCCTGAGTGTTCAGACAAGAGAAATTGTCCTGAACACGATGGGCTGGCCATGGAAAGATGCTTATCACCTTTTTTGGCAAACATTTTAATGAATTTTCTCGAAAATAATAACGAGATAGTTGACGATTGCTTGCGTTTTGTGGATTGTAACCAAGAAAAAGCTGAACAAAAAATTAATCAGATACATCCAAACATTTCATTCATCTTGGAAATTGAAAATAACAATAAAATTAACTTCTTGGATGTCTCCACTTCAAGAGATCACACAAAGCAGCCTAAACTTCTTGATCTATAGGAAACCTACACAGCCTGATCACTACAACCACCCACAACATTATTTCATTTTCATTGTTATAATCTTTCTTTCAAAGGGGGATGTTGAGGAGTCTGTCGACGTAACAATGGAAAGCTGCAAATTTATGTAAGTTTAGTTAATTCATCTTAACAACAAATTGACATACTTCCACTTGTGAGACTTGTTGGATCATTAGCAACTGCCAGCTAGGTAAACCAACAATCATCAGTCTTGTGTCATTTTTGAAAACAAAACCGTTAAATTCGTAAGTCATCCAAGAGAAAAAAGGAAAATCATCTAACCAACCAAAGACAACTCTTGCATAATGTGATATTTAAATAATTTGTGATAATAATATTATTAAGGAATTTCAAAGTGTTGTAATGTCCGTGTACTTCGTTCCCAATCTATATTGTTTTAACTCCAACTACTGTGAACTCCTGTATTTTTACCTGACGAAGTAAGTAGAGCAACTTTCTAACTTTCCAGTTCTCTTTACAGATTTTTCCATAACCAAATTATTATTCTTAGAGTAACTAAAATGAGATGAAGAAAGTTTTTTCTCTTACTTCCAGGTTGCACTGATGATGGCCTAGGCCGAAAGCGCTCTGCACTGAGTTGAAATAAATAAATTGCATGAAATACAAAATCCTCCTTCTTTCTTCTAAATTTGGTAATTGGTGTCCGGAATTTGAGCGTTGTCAAGCAATAATCATTGTCCAGTTCCTATCCAAAATAGTTTTTGGTTAATGCTGCTGGCTTTGACATAAATTATCTCTACAGTCTCATCGGTTTTGTATACCTTCCGTCAAATATTACTTACAGGGAACCAAATAATTAATATTTGATGTTTTTCCTTGGATGTTTTCTCTTCAATTGAAATATACATTGAAGTCCAAAATCAGTTTAGTGTTGGTATCTTCAAAAAATTGTTGTATCCTTTGTGGCAACCATTCAATGTAGGGTTGTATCAAGTTGGCTAACTTTATGGAAGTTAATTTCTATCTATGAAAAAATAATAAATAATTTCCATTTTTTCAAATTATCTTAGTGATATACTTAGTAAGATTAATAATAATTCAACAAACCTATTATCATACCCATTTGTTGATAAATAGGGACTAAACTGAGTAATAACTGAGTACTCTACCAGAGTTACCTGGCTTGGAAGACCAATTGGGTGTGAATTTGTATCCAGGATAAAAATCTCACTCTCAATTCTGCATTTTCATTGTAATTGTATAAGTAAACGCTATAAAAAGGTTTAGTTGGTGATTAGGCAACAGCGAACTTGCAGAACTATACTATTTTTGTTCGAAATTAAAGTAACTGATATCAAAACAGAAACTTACTTTGTCAAGAATTGCTTCCCTTGAAATTTGGATGAAGGATGAAAGAAACCTCTAAAATATCCAAAACCAACTGTAATGTGGAAAGTCTGACCATATCCAAAGACACCAGGACGCAACAATCAGGTATAAATTTTGATTTTCACAATCTTAATACTTAAAAACAGCTGTCAGAGGATTAAAATTATTATGTAGTTAGTCTTTTATCCAGTGGAATCAATTCACGACGCTAGGTTTTTGTGTTTGTCTCAAGCAATATAACTTTGGTGGCACAGAGCTGGAGGATCAAACATCCCTTTTTGGAATCAAGTTCCGTTTCCTTAAATGTGGAAAAAGTGTATTAGCCATTGCCTGAAATCTTGCAGTAGTGAAAGACGAGAGATTCTCGTCTTGTCTCGACGAGACGAGAGACCAATTTTCTCTCAAAAAGTTACTTCGAGACGAGACGAGAAAATGCTGTATTTTGTCGAGAATTTCTCAACAATATAATGTTGAGTCCCTAACATCAGAAAGAAAATTCTTATATTTGAAAAACAATCCTATAAATATGTGTACGGAAATCAGAAATGGCTCCTTTCTAAGATAAAGAGCGTTGTTTTTTTATTCAAGATTTTGTAGAAGTAATTGAAATACAAAGTACATATTTTTTTCAAATGTACTCCAATTACTTGTACTTCAAATACATTATAATGGCGTCTTTCTCATAAATATAAAGCATAAAACATGACAATTTTTTCATTTATTATTTTTCTTCGAACCTATGTCAGAAATTAACCAACAAGCAGCTTCTAATATCTGTGTTACTTAAAATATTTAAAAATATAAAGTACTTCGAGTACACTTTTGAAGTAGGCACCCACACCTATCTCAGCTGTTTCAAGAGATACTCAGAAATTTCAAATGTGAAAGCTGTAGGTACCTGATATCAGAAACCTTGCAATGAAGTTAGTTACAAGTGTGCAGGGTGTGTCACAAAAGTGTGGCGAAGCAAAGTTATACTTTTTAAATGGATCCCCTGTATATTATAGACCCATTGGCTTAGCTTTTCAAACCTGGTTCCAAATAAACTAAGTTTTTTAGGTTTATTTCTAATAGTCCGGGAGAAAATAAGAAAAAAACGGGTGGAACAATAGGAATGTTCACAAAATAAAAAAAATCCGTTTAACCATCATCAAATTATTAAGCATCGTTTCATAAGTAAATTTACAAAATTTTACGAAAATCAGAAAATTCTTTCTATGAGAAAAACGGAGACGAAATATTGATATTCGTTTAAACGTACGAAACGCTGTCTGACGTCACAATGCGTAATAAGTTAGCACGCGCAAGTACAGTGGCGTTGTGATGTTGCTTTTGCGATT